CGTGTAAACAGTTATTCAGATTTCACAAAAATTCAAATATTTTACTACATTTTGTAATCTAGTTTCTAGTATGTACATTATATACAGTAAATAGGGGTTTACCTGTATTTTCTATCTATTGTGTTATTTTTTGTAAAACAATGCCAGGATTAAAGGGATTTAGAGTTTTATAAATAAAAAACAAAATAATAAACAGTATTTCATAACTACATTAACGATAGGCTAAATCCTTGACATTAGGCTTACCATTAAAAAAAGCGAAATATATTTATATTTACACAACGGAGTCGTGTTTAGTGTGAAATATATACAACAAAAACATTTTATTTTCATGTTTTTGTTGTTATTTCTGAGACACAAATCTTAAGCAAAAGTTTAGTTTTAAAATTAGTGTGCTTCCTAGAAATAACAAATAAAATACAATACTAAAAGTACATTGCCAAATCATTTCGTAGTAAATCTTTTTTCGACTACTGATACAGAATTGATATATAAACCGAAAATAATTAGACATCAAATGATTGGCAAAATGTTTAGGAAATAAGTGTACAAAACGTTTCGGGAAAATAGTTTTTTTGTGTGTGAATATTATATGATTATTAAGCGAGAGCCTTTTGGCGATTGAATGGTGCGTACAGTTTGCGTCAGTATACCGTCAATGAGTTTATGGATTCTGAATGTAAAAATTAAATTGATTTCCAACTCAACTGTGCGTTAATACAACAAATTCTGGTCGATTCCCCCATTAGATTGCATAGGAATTCACAGAATATTCTGTCATCACATGTGCGCTGATAGTACGCTAATTGAGTGCTATTTCTGTATTGTCTATATGTGTGTACAGAATATTCTGTCAACAATTGTAGTCAACGTCTGTACACATAATCTCCAAGTTTTTTAATGACTCGGTGTTTGAGAATTGATTTTTGAATACAGTCTGAGATATAGTTGGGTTTAGGCATCGATAAACACTCGCTGATTAGGGCAGTGCCCCGTTTAGCTCCCGGTCAATTTAATTATCTAAACAAAACAGGAAAAATATATATAAAATATATATATTTATTTTTATTTCTACTAAGAAAGACAAATATTGATAACAAATATTTGTTATTTTGAAATATAATCCATTGATTTGTTTTACTGCCAATGAATTGAAACACAGTTTTTATCAAATTGTCGAATAAATCAAAGGAAATACAATATATCTTCATAACGATGAGAGAGAGAGAGAGAGAGAATAGTGTATTGTGTTATATATATAGAGAGAGAATTGACAAAACAAATTTAATTTATTATTTGCAGACTCTTAAGATATTTTTTTAAGCTAAAGAAATATTTTTATTCATTTTGTGTTTTTGACACTCAATTATATAGAACACGTGGATATCAGGGTATCGTTGAAAAACACACAAAAATACATATAAATTATTTACCTTTTATCATTCTCGTAACTGTAAAGTATTGCATGATATGTGCTAATCATATGTGTGTTTGTTTTAAAGTGGTTTTAAAGCTTTGAAGCATTTTTTACTTTTCATTCACAACACGATTCACAATGAGATATATTTGTATATATTGTTAGATTACATAATAGATAGACAATATTGTTTAGCATTACGTGTGGGTGTGTTTGCGATTGAAATGTGAATGAATTTGAGTGTCTAATGCAAACCAAACCAAGAATATTCTCTATATAATACATTATATGTATACTATACTTGCAATTTTTGGTTTGCATTACACAAAAACTTATTACTATTATTTTTATGTTTACATTTTCATATACGGAATATTCTTTGCTATAAAAATTAAATTGTTTTTAAAAATCTAAAGAATTGGGTGTATCTTATCGCAAGTAATACTATATTTTATTTTATGAATAAAGTATTTTTTATTATTTGAGTTGAGTTTGTATGTATGAAAAATACATATAAAATTTATAAATCAATATAAATAAAGACTATTCTCGCATATCGATGAGCAACACTCATAAATAAATGCAAAAATAGCTGCACTTTATATACAAAAGTCGAAATCAATTCTCATTATTCGTCTAAAATAGGACTCAGATTTCAATATTTCAAATGAAAAGTGAATATAGATTTTAAATACGAAAATGTGTGACACATTGAAACGGGTGCATTTTTGTTTGCATTTTTCACTTTCCGTTTGAATACGAGTAATGCCATGATATTTAAAAATATAAGTAAAAATTTATTCACTTTTAGTCTCAAAAGTTATCGTCAAATCGGATACTCTTTGATCAAAAATGATGGGCTTTTACTGTATAACCACTCCATACAGTATACGCTCATTATATGCAAGTAATATATATTTAATATTTTATTTTGAAAATTTGTTATAATTTACATAATTTCCAGATTTAATGTCATTTATAATAACTTTACCGGGTTAATGATTTTTCTAAGATATTATATATACAATAATTTAACATGAAACCCATTTCCGTGGACTTCATTTGTGTATAAATGCGAGATTTTATTGAAATAAATATAATTTTTTTGTGAGAGTTTCTCAAAATATTTATTATTCAGAAAAATGCATTATTTTTGCAAACATTTTGCAATAAGAGAAACTATATGCCGTATAAAAAAGTTTGAGCGATATTTCAAGATTAAGTTACATAAAAGCAACTCAACTCTCAAATAATGTTATATTTCTTTCTTTAAAATAACTGCACAATTGAGACTATATTGAGACTAAACAATAAGCTCTCTCTCTCTCTCTCTCTCTCTCTCTCTCTCTCTCTCTCTACTCTCTAACAAAATAGCTACGTTTGAGTTCATAAATCATAGTTACAGAGAGAGAGAGAGAGAGAGAGAGAGAGAGAGCTTAATATTCAATCAAAATATCATACTCAAATAATTTTACATTAACATTTATTTAATTTAAGTTTATCATTTTTTAAATTAATACTTATTATAATAAATGGTTTCACAAAGAATATATGGTATGCATTTATTGATTTAATTTATCTATTTTTGCTTATTTTGTTAATTCGCTAAATTTCTAATTAATTTTACAAATATATTATGTTTTGTCTAATTGTCGGACACATGAGAAGGAAGTTTGTATCAAAAAATAATTTTATTTTGCTTTAAACCCTAATCTGATTATATTATATGTTATATCATAATTAATGAAAACTACAATTGAGTCTAGTTTACATGAATTGCAATGTAATGGTAGAAATAATTAATTTTGAAAGTTTTATTCTTAACTTAATGTTTAAACTAATCTTATTATCGGAAACAAAACAGAAAACACCAATCGATGCATAAATAAATGTAATATAATATGAGATTTAAAACTTATAAATTATAAGTCTTTTGTAAAATTATAGATAATTTCATCAGAATTTTTATGTTTAATGCAATCTCTATGACATTAGCAATGAAATGACAAATTATTTTTAAAATTTAATTTATATTTTTAGAATATTTCTTAAAATAGTAAATTCTTGAGAATATTCTTGGAAATTCTATTTTAAAATCTTTTACGGTAATCCATTTATGGATTAAGATTTTATACATTCCGGACATTTTGAAATTTAATAATAGGAAATAAATTACTTTTAATTTTAAAAATAGTTTAATATAATATAATGTGGAATTTTATTAATAGAGATCCTGTTTAAAACTATTATATTTGATACACACTTATCACAACTCTATACAAATTTGTACTTGCAGTTATGATAAGAATTTTATATATAATCAATAATAAGTATAAGTTAGAGTATCTGGTTTATATCACTAAAAAACTTTTTATAGATCTCAAACCCAATTATGTTGAGCTGTGTTATAAAAATGTAGAAAATTTAATCAAATAGAAAATAAACCTATTAATAAATGTCTTATGCAATAAGTCTTTTATATTACTTTTGAATTTAGATACAAATCCCCAAACAATGAGTGCATATCCAAACTCAATAAGTTTACTTTATTTAAATCAAATTTCTGTATCATTCATAAGAATATATACAATAATATGAATAGAAATTTATAGTTGTATATAACATGGTTACATAAACATTATGAATAAAATCCTTTAAATCAATTGAATGTGGAAAAGGAGTGAAACAAAAAATTCTTTTTACTTCACAAAAAGTTCTCTCTCTCTCTCTCTCTCTCTCTCTAATGCCATAGAAATGATTGAAACCCGGATTTCCAGACATAATCTGAACTCTAAAATCCTTGATATCAATTCAATTTGTTTGCATAACATTGAAATTCTTTGTGAGATTTAAAGCCTTGAAATTCATATTTTATATATTCAGTCGAGAGAGAGAGAGAGAGAGAGAGAGAGAGAGAGAGAATTTAAATATTAAATATTGACACTAATATCGGAGTGCTTTTATATTATATATGATGCGGGCACATACAGTATTTATATTACATAATACAATATAAATATAATAATTTCGTAAAATAAATATCAATACAATTATAATTGAATTGAAAGAGCAGGGAAAATGGTTTTCATATATACAGTGTATTATACGATAAAAGATAACTAGAAATTAATTCAAACACACATTTATGGGCACAAAAAAAGTAGACCCAATTCTCCAGACATTTGTATAATTTATTTAATACAATACATAAGAACTTTTCGTGCATTTTATTCATTGCGGATAAATGAATGGACTCCAATGTCACCGGGATCTCTATGTAACCATCAGGTCTACCACTGGAGGTACGGGTGCACTTTTAAGTCAATATTGATATTAGAAAAATTTTATTCATATAATTGGAAAGACATACTCTATTCGATGACAATTTCTATTCAAATAAACGCTTGCATTCAGAATTATCGCAGAATATTCTACACATACATGTATATAATGAACACTACTATAGTACATATGAGTATACAAAATGAATACCTGTACAGAATTATACCTGTACAAAATGAATCATGCTAATCATTAAACTACATGTGCTGTCTCTATGTACGTGACCCCCACCCACCTTATAGGACCGGTATTGGGCGATACACGACCCCATAAACTATGCTCAAAAGCGCACAATGAAGCGCGTGGTCACCTCCATAGCCCTCATATGGGCCATCAGTGCATTAATATCGATCCCACCGCTCATCGGGTGGAACGACTGGCCGGCCGTTTTCGACGACAACACCCCGTGTAAGCTGTCGGAGGAGCGCTCGTACGTCATCTACTCGGCCTCCGGTTCCTTCTTCATACCGCTGCTCATCATGACTGTCGTCTACTACAAGATATTTAAGGCGACGCGTCGGCGGCTCCGCGACCGGGCCAAGGCCTCGGCGATGGCTAACCTCATGTCCAGCAACTCCAAGAACTGTGTGTCGGAGTCCCATAAGATCGACATCGAGTCGGCCAGCGATGAGAAGACCGAGAAGTGCTGTAATAATAAGGACTGCAATAACACGGATCAACTCAACAATAAGAAGAATAGCGGCACCGCCGCAGCGGTTGGGGGTAAGGGAGGGAAGGGTGGCGTCAAAGGGGGCGACGCGAGCGCCAAAAATAGCAGCAGCGACGAGGACTCGGTTCACAAGGAGTCGACGCCCATCGCTAAGGATAATAGCGATCCGCATATCATTGGCCAGGAGTTTGTGTCCCAATACAACACGACGACGACTACGACGACGGATACGGTGTCGACGGCTCAGCCATCGCTCATAACGCCGAGCGTCGAGCAGAAGACACTTGTGGTGAACCAACACTTGTCGGCCGCCAACACAGGTTTGTCTCCACCCCTCAGCACCATCACACCACCACCACCACCACTGCCTACCGACCCAAAGCCCTGTCCATCACATGTTGCGATAGTAATGAGTCCAATACTACCTCTACTATAACTCAAGCCAAGCGCCGGCCGATGGACGACACGGGAGGCATATCGTCGGTGAAGAGGTTTTGGGAGGAGAAGCAAAAGATATCGCTGTCGAGGGAGAGGAGGGCCACCAGGATATTAGGCATTGTGATGGGGGTGTTCGTCGCGTGCTGGTGAGTCACACACTACCTGTCCACTCCAGTGGACATACATTTGCTTTTTAGTATCTATAGCATGCATTAACAAAACTTTTAAAATCTTAAAAATAGCGATAGTATAGTAGATTTACTAAATTTATACAGTAGTATAGTAAACACTATAGACAACACTACAAAACTTTTGTTTCAAATTTAGATGATTAGTAGAAAATAATACGAAAATAAAAATAAAATACTATTATAAATGTGTTGTTTAACTATTGAGATTAGTGTCTAGTTGTGATTTTTATTTAAGCAATCATTTTATATATTATGTTGACATTATTTTGACACAATGTTTAAATATAATTAACCAAAAAAAAGTTTCCATTAATTGTCAACGAAACTGTCAGAAATTGTATGACAAAAAGTTTTTAGTGCCTATACTGTAATTACATTATATTCTATAAACACAGACTTATGTTATTATGGTGGCAAAAAAAGTGCCAAAAATTTGTCTACAAACACATTGAGATGTTGTCATAAGTCTGTCAATTTATCCCATAGTATAAAGTATATGCCTTTTGGCGATCAACCGGAGTTGACTTGTCATCCATTGAGTCCATGAATTGAATTTATGATACGATAAGAAAATCATAAAATAACATTTCATACAGTTATGAGACTCGTATAAGTTTTACGATATAACATCATAACAAATAATCCACTTTTTTAAACATGATATACTGTCTCTCGCAAGTCTTAACGCTTACAGTAATTGCTGTACACTTTTCATTAATAATAGGGTCCAAGAAAATTCAATAGCATTACTATTATACAGATATAAATGATGAGCCATTTGTCTCTGAATTCTTACATATTTATACGAAATTCTTGTCTATTATTCTTAGGCTCCCATTCTTTCTGATGTATCTGATTATGCCTTTCTGTGAGGTCTGCTATTTGCCCCACGAGTTGGAAAGTTTCATCGTATGGTTGGGGTATGTATTGTACGGCTATTGACTAAAATACACGGCTTATTCACAACGAGTTCATTGATTCCCTGAGCAATCAATTGATGGCCTGAATGAGAGACAGCGAGAATCACATGAATTAATCAGATTATGGGCTCATATTTATTTATTTAGCCCATTAATACGAAATGGGCTATTTTGTATGTGCATCCACATAAATAGAAATCAATTTATATTAATAGGACTTAGGATTCACGATACAAATTGTCGAAATATTTACTATTGTTTACGATTTTAAGGCGATTTCATGAGATTTGTTTGAAATTAGAGAAAGAGATTTCTATGACCATTGTCTGCGAATTCATTTGAATCTTATATAAGCCGCGGTTTAATGCAATAAATTAAATATAATTAGAGTTTATTGGATATAAATAGATTTGTATATTAAGTTTATTGTTGCTTTTGCCATTTTGTTTAATCATGCTAAATGTGATGTTTACTCTGTATTTATCCCATACTCTAACAGATACATCAATTCAGCGCTAAATCCGCTAATCTATTGTGGTTTTAATCGTGATTTTAGGAAAGGTTTCCAAAAGATTATTTGCTGTAAAAAAGTGATATAACTTATGAACACAAGGAATATTCCGTACAAAACAAAACTACAGTTTTTTAACATATATATAGTAAGTATTGGTTTTGAAGTATTCTTTTCGGGAATATAAGGCATAAAATGCTAATTTGATTCATACTTTAATACAGACTATCAATCAATCAATTGCTGTCTGTATTGATATGAATAACTGTCAGAGAGAGAGAGAGAGAGAGAGAGTTTTAAAAATCAATTTTTGTTTTTGAAGTAAAAATATCTCTTTTGTCTTTACAGATATGGAAAAAATCATAAATTATTAAAATATAGACAATAGTTGACTGATTTTCAATATATAAATAAATATATAATACATATATGGACTGTAAAATATTTTAGACAAAAAATGTATTTGACGCAAAACTGGTGCCCAACAGAAAAGACTACAAAATAGGGTTTCAAACAAAATATTTTCAAAGACTTGAATACTCATACAATTGTGAGAAAAATACAGAAAATTGATATTTAAGGATAAAATACAAGTTTTTTTGTATTAATATATGAGTGCATTAGACATACATATGGATGGCTTCCAAACACTGCAAATAAAACTGATAATAACTGTTGACTTGTAGTTAATTACAGAAAAATATCGTTGACTTTGTGTACGACATACAACTGGTTTTTAATTAAGAAATGAAATTTTTATTTTTACGATATATATATACAGAATATATATGTACAGAATATTCTGTATTCACGTAATTAATCAAATAAGTTATTTAATAAACGCCGCTGAAATGGGGGTTTTTTTTGCATAATTGTTATTAATAAAATAGACTTTTTATTAATAAATTATAAGTAAATATTATATATAAATATATTATATTAATTAATATGTGGTTTTACAAGCTATGTACTGATTGTATGGATAGTGACATAACCCAGACCAACAAACTTTTATAGACTTTAAATATATATATCTGGGAACGGCATACAAATTTTAATACATAATAACTGTAAGAGTAATAACAAATTTTATTTTAATTAATTAAAAATTTAATAGACATTTATTAACATTATTTAAAATTAAATAGTTATAAAATTATAAAATTATTAATTGTTTCATAATTATGGCATACGTTAAGATTCATGACAAATAAAATTTTCAACATTTTTAGCATAAAAATTGTTTTCATAATAAAAACTATCTAAAATACTAATATAAAAATAATCATTTTTCGTTATTTATTTGTATAACAAATATATTTAATATATTGGTTATTTTAAAAGTCTAATGTACATGTATTTATAATAATATCAAGTAATAATGTTATTGTAATTTTTGATTTTGCAACAAATTATATATTTTCATTTATTTTCAAATAATTTCTATGTCATTATAAAATGGTATGTTATCAAATTGATTTACATTTTGTAAAGTTTAAAATGATATTACAAAATAGATTCGACATTTAATATATTGTTATTAAAATTAATTTAGTAAATTGAAGTTTATATTTATTTTAAAAATAAATTTATATCCATGTACATCAGGTTTGTATACATTTCATATTAAGTTGCTAAAATATTAAAACTATAAATTTTTAATAAATGTCAAATAAATATAAATATACCAAAATATTGAGTTTTATTTGCTATTTTCCTAAAATAGAAATTCGTTTTTAATATTTATGAATACAATATATTTCAATAACAAAAAATAATAATTTCCAACAAATTGTTAGCCCAGTTCCAGAATAGCCCGGGAGCATTTAGATGCAACATTATTTTGTAATATTGTTGTAATATTTTATAAAGCGATATAAAATAATTTAATTTAATAATTCTAGATATTTGTATCTCTTTTTTGAGTTAACAGTATTCACCTCTATATGAACTATATCAAATAACTTATAAATATTACCTTACTAATATGATTTAGAACATAATTAAATCTAATTTCTAATTCAATATCACTTTATATGTAATATTATTGTCCATGCAACTAGCATATTCTGTATGTTAGTCTATGAATTGAAATCTATACTCAAATATATTGATGTCATGATATGGTAGAGACTTTTTAGTGGAAAATTGGTGGCAATTCATCAATTTTCTGGTTAAGTGGTCCCACGAAAAAACAAATTGATACTCAAAATACTGCGATATTTTCCCCTCCACTCATGAAAATTGCGTTTTTTTCAAGACATTCACTCTCACTGTATATATATATTATATATTATGAGATCAAAAACATAGGAATAATGCCATAAAAGGCGATCAAATTTTTTCGTCTCATTCATTCATTTCAGAGTTTTTTTTTCGGGGATTTACTTATGGATCAGAGAATTTATTCCGAGAATTGCATTTATACAGAATATTCTCTATATATTTAAAGACAATATAACGTTAAGAATGTATATATATTGGGCTCAAACTTTTTTCTGCCAACTCTTCGGCTTTTTCATTGAGTTATCGTTTTTCTCGGAATTGATACCAAGAAACTAAATACTATTTCGATTGAATTCTAGTACATTCTAACCTAGATGCTTTGAAAGTATAGCAATGTTTCTAATCCATAATCTTGTTATAAAAAAAACAAAATAGAAATTGATTTAAAATCTTATTATATTTTATTTGTATTGTTTTGTTTTTTGAATCTAATATTACAAATTGACTTCATTTCGTATAAAACAATAACTTTTTTGTCGTTTCAGTGAATACACTGTAATTGAATTTTACTGTAGTTTTTCTAAATAAATTTTTATTATATCAGATTTAAATAACAGTCAATACTTTGATTCCCAAAGACTTTTTTGATATTAATAGTGTGTAGACATCGACTGCAAAAGTTTAACATTATTTATATCTGTTTGCAATTGTATTGATGACTAGTTTTAAATCAAAATACAGACTAGTGATTAAGCCTTTCATATAAGTTATATATAGTTATATACTGTATATTAAATAACTTATGAGATATCTGGACTTTTGAAAGCAAATAAGAATTTATTACAATTATTACAATGAGTTAATTATTGGTTTTAAAATAGCTAGAAATTTTATACAGTAGTGTTTTTGTTTGTATACATTAGTACAGTACTAAAATTTTTCATACTTTTAAACCCTATTTATATTAGCAATAATTACCACTAAATATTGATATTTCTAAACATATATTCCGTTTTATGGGCCCAGATATAAGGCCAAAATTGACTTACATTTGTTTTAAGACACCAATCAATTGCATTTCATTGGGAGCTATGGATCACATGGAGACTCATCTTCTCCGGGAATTAATGTGTTTTCAAACTAATGACAGAAAAGTAGAAATAATTAATCATTACTTCTATATATCGGTTATATAAATAAAGTATACGACAAAACTGAAAGAAAATATATCCAAAAGTCAAGAATGAGGCGAAGCATAAAATGCTATAATAAATAATCAAGTGAGTTTTATATATCCTGGAAATATACACTGCGTTAACACTGTATTGAATTGTGATATTCCGGGAATTCTGGATATATACTGAAATATACTGTTGACTATATATATGCAGCAAATCTTATTAAAAAATGATTTTCAAGTTTAAAACTTTTATAAACCCAAGTGTTTGCCGTTGAAGTGTATAAGCGATGAGTTAATAAAAAATGTTTAGAGAGAGAGAGAGAGAGAGAGAGAGAGATTGTTTTAATAGATTGGATTCTAGCGAAAAGTAAATGTTTTGTTATACTTTATAAATAAATTAAATTAAAAAGATAAATATAAGACTTCATAATAAATAGGACTCAGTTTATGGGTACATCCATGTTATATTTAGCCTACATTAAAGTATATAAATACTAAATATAGTAGCATTATTATGAATGTCAAATACAATCAACTAATACGCCCACAGAATCTGTAACTAAATATATACAATATACTGTATGATTTTTTATATAAAATATTTCATATCTATTTGTAATATCAGTGCAAAAACCTTTTGCCAGTAGAGATGTACAGTACTAAACATACACGTCATAAGCAGTACATAAGACATTGCACAATAAAACCACCCTGCCCAGACAGTCTAGTTATTTAGTTTAGTTTAAGTATATGAAGTTTAGATAAACACATACCATTCCAGCACTTGACTTCCCTCAATCTTAAGCAGTTCATCTTAGATTATGACCAATGTATGTATCTTATAAATATTTTATGAATCCTATATAAAATTTTAATAAGCTTTAAACATTTTGGTATAGTTTTTAGTTGATATAATATAATTGAACATATTTTTAATTTTAATTGAAAGTTACCTGGAATACGTTAAGACACCTGTTACAATGCAATATATTTAATTGAACATATATTATATAATATTATTTATAAACATTGATTATTAAAATCAATATAAATTTGTTGTAATTTACAGATTATTAGATAGATATTAAAAATAGGAGTTTACTCTACAGTAAGCTAGCACTTTTAATATTTAAACAATATCTATAGTACATGTAATACAAAGTAATAAT